CCCCCAGGTTTGGCATTGCATCCACCTCCTCCTCTCAAATATTATTGAGGAGATTATCAGGGGAAAAAAGGGTTTGGATAAGACTTCGCTGGTTTCTATTCAGTCTTACTCAGATCTGCTGAGAACAGGATCCTACCTGAATGTAAACTTTAGGAGGCAGTTTAACCTCCCGAGGAAACAGTTTCTAGTCTTCAGGGTGTTTTCTCGTGGGAGATCTTAGAGGGTTGTGAAAAGCTGCTGCATCCACAGTCACCAACACCTGTGCTGGCAGCCTCCTTGCAGGACCCCCTGAGAATGCTAAGCCTGCGATTTTTGCATCTTGTTTGTGTCTTTTACCTTTGTCCTGGGGATTTTTAAAACGTGTGTAAGTTGCTGTTGCAGTGCATGTTAAGGAGTTTAATTCAGAGGTCCCTCTGAAATTGCATTTGATTCTGTCCCTTCTAGAAACGCAAGGAGAACTCTCCTGTGTTGTACTCCAGCCCCAAACCCTGTGGCATTGTCCAGCCTCGCAGCACTGCAGAGATTCCGGTTACGATCGAAGTCCAAACATTGGGCGATCATCGCACCAAGGTTCTTATTGGCGTGTTTGGGGATGAAAGAAGCCCACTGGTGAGTGCAAGGGGAAAGGGGAGATGTGTGCCTTTGTGCAGCTCCTCCTGGCAGGGTGCAGAGTGTGCAGGGATTCTTCTGGGGAAAATGGGCACAGGCTGGAGAAGGACAGAAGGGATTGGTGGCATAAACAGCTCATGCTTTATAGGTGGCAGTCTGTGTCCAATGCAGAATGTAGTTCATCTAAGATGGAACTGAATATAATTTTAGTTAATTAATCTTTCAAATGCTATTAATTTTGGAAACATCTGCTTTAAAATGTCTTGTCATCTCTCTGAGCACAAAAGAGGACGTCAGAAGACTTCTGGGAACCTTGAGGTTTCTGCAAAAGAAAGGAAAGCTGGCATTTGAAAAGTAGTTGGAACTACTTTTTTTAACTTTTATTTAAACATATGGAAATGATGATACCAAATTCCATGGATGGCACCAAACATCTCAACCTGGGCCATTGTGGCACTGCATATAAATCAGTCAACAGGAAGGCCAGGCAGTGCAGGCTGTGCCAGGAATCCTGAAGTTTGACAGAACAGTTGTTTTCAACTGTCAGGCTGCTTACCTTAGAGAGGAAGAGTTTCTCCCCACCAGAATAACCAGTTGTTTAACTGTCAGTCTGGTCTTAACTAGAGATTTCTTGCAAAGCTCTTATCTTTGGGCAAATCATTTGTAGTTTGAAAGTTTCTCTTCCTTTAATCCTTTTTAATTTGGAGGCGAATATATATTTTTTTTTTCCCCAAAAGCCCAGCATTTCAGCTGGACAATAGTAACTGTCCGTAAAGAAATAATTGAGCAGGGTTGAGCTGTTTAAATTTCATTAAGTTTTCCTGTTGTGGTTTGTTTTGGGTTTTTTTTAATCTTTCTTGCCTGCTTCCTGGAACAGAGAGCAGAAATACTGAGCTCTGGACAGCTGGCAGAAATCTACGGAACTCCAAGGGTGATACAGTTCGGCATGATCCCGGCACTAGAGCCGAATCCACAAATTTTTACCCTCTTCAACAAAGGTCTTGTCCCTACAGAATTCAGGATAGAAATCGTAAGTATCTGTGGGGCTGTTTTCCAGGGAAATTGACTGGTCACTAGCAGCCATGACTTGGTTTTTATATGCAAGATTTCCATAAGACCCTGTGTGAGAGGAGGTGAGATTCTCCAATATTCCATCTGAACAAGGCAAGAGGAACCTGGCTCTGGAGTGGTTTTAGCTGGGGCACCCCTCAGTGAAACCAGGTACAGAGATGTTGGAGCAGAAATTAGTCTGGATTGTGTTGACAAGTTCTCCTTTAGTTTTATGGAAGATTTGTATCTGTGCGTACATCACATTTTTGGAGCTCTGAGATCAAGAGAAACCTGTGGTACTTTGCTCTCCAGAGAGTATGGATTTCCTTATGGTTTCCCTGTTCTATCTACATTTGCTTTGTGCCAAACTGCTGTTCATAGTAGGGAGCAGGGTGTGAGATCTGTCCTCAGACTGCTTGTGGGGAGGCAATTGTCACACCTCCTGTGGGCCAAGCCAGCTGGGCTGCCCACACAGAGACGTGGGGGTTGTGCACCCTCACAGCCTGTGATCTCTGTGCTGTTGAAGAGCATCTTTGGGGACCAGCTGCAGAGAAAGGCTGTTTAATACGTGGAGGCTGCATAGGGCAGAAGGAGCAGGGCTGGTGCAGCCAGGAAGGGCTTGTAGGCTGGGGCTGGGTGTCTGCTGGAAGGGGA